ACACACACACACACACACACACACACACACACACACACACACACACACACACACGCACACACATGCACAGTGCAGGAGACAGGGCAAAGGGGGGGGAGGTTAGGCATTGTGCAAAGCGCGTTTGGGGGCACAAAAGCCATTTGGTCACGCAGTTGCAGTTGCATTTAGACAGACGCACGCCTGCTCGGTCACAAGGCAGTGCGTATCGACGCCGTCGACACCAACAACGAGGCGCACCTTCAAGAACTCAACAGAGGCCGTGTCGTTTCGGCCAGTGAGCGTTGGGCCCATCACAAAGGCAGGGTTGATGGTCACAAGCGTGTACTTGTCTTGTTGCTGCAGCAAACCACATGCGCGTGCGTCAGTGTGTGTGCGTGTGTGTGTGAATGAATGTGTCTGTGTAAATGTGTGTGTGTGTACGTGGGTGTTTGCATGCATGCACATCACTTCATGCAGGACAAACGCCACACAAGGACACGTGGCAGAGGTGCAAATGGGTGCAACACGATGCAAGTGGATGCAAATACGGCAGAGTGCAGCAGGGGCTACCTCGGCCATCTTCCATGCCGCTTCCTCAGCACGGCGCTTGCTGAGCGAATACGCTCCATCCTAAAAGGGTGAAGGAGGAAGGGAGTGTTAACAGGCTGGGGGGAGGGCATATCGAACGCGCAGCCAAACAGCTGCTTGCTTGCAAGCAGCCGCCACACAACACACACACACACACACACACACACACACACACACACACACACACACATGACAGGTGGTCACTCACGCTGAGGGTAGAGGTACGGTTCCAGTCGTCCTCTGTGAACGGGGTGTCCTTATCATCGGCATAGCCTTCCACCGCCGCACACGACGATGTGAGCACCACGCGCTCCACGGAATCAGCCTTGGCCACGGCGTTGAGGACGTTCTCTGTGCCCTTCACCGCGGGGATCACAAAGTACTCCTCGGGGCTGCCGCGCTGTGGGTGCGTTGTAAGTCAAGCAAGAATCGGAACGGTTGTGAGTAGTGTGTGTGTGGCGTGTGGCGTGTGGCGTGTGGAGTATGAGCATGCCGGTTTGCCTGCCTTTCCTGGCTGTCCTGCTTGGCTTGCGTTGCGGTCTTCGGTCAGTGCGCCACGTGACACGCACACAAATACACACACGCACCGCCTGCAGCTGAAAGGGGCTTGCGGTGTGCAGGACGTATTTGCAGCCCTTGACAGCCTCGTCGAAGCTGCCTTCGTCCAGCAGGTCCGCCTTGACAAGCTCCAGTCGGTCTGCAGCTTGGGCCTTGGTTGGCAATCAATCCCACAGATTTGTAGCATGAGCTGTGGCACCAATCATAAGCTACACGACAAACAACGTCAAAAGCACACTCTCACACACACTCACTCGATCACGCACTCACACACACTCACTCACTCACACTCACACACTCACACACACTCACTCACACTCACACACACACACACACACACTCACTCACTCACTCACGCACACACTCACACACGCACTTTCTCCCATACCTTCTCGGCGATGGCCATCAAGACTTTGGTCTTGGCTTCGTTGGACGGGTCACGCACCGTGCCCCGCACATGGTAGCCAGCCTCCAGCAGTTGCTGCACAATGTGCGTGGCAATGTAGCCTGCGTGTTTGTTGATGTGTGCGACATGCAGTGTTGGTGCACGGTGTGAGCCAAGTGTATGAGACAACTGGCGCATAACCAGGTGGTGGCGGCCCTAGCCCTCGCTCAGCCACGTACCAGAGGCGCCGGTCACACACACTCGCTCAGCCATCTTGCTTGCTTGCTTTGCTTCTTGTGTGCCGTGATGCTGTGATATGGGGTGTCTTTGTTTGTTGCTTGCTTCAGCTGTTGTGTGCTGTTGCGCTTGATGACGATAGTGTTGCAGGTGGATTCGTTGCACTTTTAATGGCGACCAGTCAAAAAAGGGAGGTTGCACAACAAAGTGAGTGGTCTCGCAACACATGCTCACAATGGCTGCAGTGTGTGCGCGGGCACGGCTGCCATCGCCTCTGCCCAGTGCACTGCCTCTTCCACTGCCGTGATTTCGCCTGGGACGTGTGTGAGTGTGTGAGTGTGTGTTGTATGTGTGCGTTGTGTGTGTGTGTGTGTGTATGTGTTGTTGTTGTTGTTGTTGTTGTTGTTGTTGTTGTTGTTGTTGTTGTTGTTGTTGTTGTTGTTGTTGCGTCGTACATCCATGATGCATGTGTGTATGCTTCCGTGCGCTTGATAGCCAGGCATCTACATGCCGGCCACAAAGCACGCTACGATAGCAGAGACATCACACGCACACTTAGCCATTTCCCTCACACTGCCCTCACTCACTGATGCCGTGGGTGGTGAGCTGGCGTTTGCCGCGAAACACGGTGACGGCGCCCCACGCGAGCACGTGGCATCCCAACTCCAGGTTGAACCGTGCGTGCCGCTCGCTCTCATCCTGACAAGAACGAGGCGGTGTGTGTGTGTGTGTGTGAGTGTGTGTGTGTGTGTGTGTGTGTGTGTGTGTGTGTGTGTGTGTGTGTGTGTGTGTGTGAGTGTGTGTATGTGAGTGAGTGAGTGAGTGAGTGAGTGAGTGAGTGAGTGAGTGAGTGAGTGAGTGACAGAGAGAGAGAGAGAGACAGACAGACAGAGAGACAGAGAGAGACAGAGAGAGAGACAGAGAGAGACAGAGTGAGTGAGAGTGAGTGTGTGTGTGTGTGTGTGAGTGGAAGATGAGGGGATGCCTATGCGTGCGTTCAGAGCTCGAGCATGAGCAGAAGTAGTCAGATGTCAAATAGGAAGGCAAGGACCAGTTCAAGCAGAGAAACCATATCATGGGTCCAGTGTTAGCACACCATCCCCACCACACATCATACCCGTCGCCAGACGATGCAGGGCACCTCTGCCGTCCCATCGTCCACTTTTCATGCAAAGGCGACAAAACATGATTTTGATGACAGGCGGGGGAGGGGACAAAGAGAAAGTGTGTGTGTGTATGTTCAATCAACAAGGACATTGGAGACAGAGACACATGCGCCACAACTCCAGCACCAATGAAATCCATCCCAAATCGAAGTAAACACACATACACACAGAAACACACAGACACACACAAAAGCAAGCGCATACAGCAGCACCTTTGTAGGCGACAAAGTGGGTTCCTTTGTCGACTTCCGTCACGATTCCAGCGAGCATGGCCAACCGCACGTGGCGTCCATTTGGCAAACAAAGGCCATTGCCACCACCTCGAATTGGCAATGCACACACAAAGAAAGCAACAAGCATATGAGGAGCAAGTACAGGAAGTGTGTGTGCGTGCGTGTTTGTAGCGAGTGTACGCAATGCCACACACACACACACACACACACACACACACACACACACACACACACACACACACACACACACACACACCGCTTTCGTACTTCCAGTGCTGCCTACGCCTCGGCCTTCTAGGAACGGCTTGAGGAGTTGCACATGGATGCCAAGCAGCCGCACGTACGCGCTGCGCCTTGTCATGACGGCAGTGGCATCACCATGACGCCTGCCACCACCACCATCGCCGCCACTGTCCTCCGCCATCCAACAACAGACAACGGCAGTTGGCAAAACCCGTTGTGGCAAAAGTCACCCAAGAGTGGGCAAAATCAGCGTGTGTTGGTAAAATCAACTGCAACGAGCACAAGAGACACGAACAAGACACTGACGATGGATCCCGCTGTGCGAGCGGCAAGGGCCGCACTGGCCAAGAACCCACTGAACGTGGGCGCCTGGAACGAAGTGCTTCGTCTCTCCGTGGTGGGCACGATGTGTGTGTGTGCACGTGTATGTGTGTGTGCATGTGTGTGTGTGCGTGCATGTGCGTGTGAATACGTTGATGTGACATGCACAATGCACACGTGAACACGTGAGCGCCGACTTGGACTGCAATCTACATGCCACACGAACACTCACACGCATACACTCACACACTTGCACACATTCACATACACGTGCACACAAACACACACACACACTCTCACTCACTCACACACTTGCACATACACGTGCACACAAACACAACACTCCACAAACTCACTCACTCTCACGCAAACATGCCCATTCATCGTCGCTGCTGTGCCGACGACAGAGGGAACCGCCCGAGAAGCGCCGAGAGGTGTTCGAGGAATACCTCGAACTTTTCCCCACAAGAGCCAGCGTGTGGCGACAATACATCGAGTTCGAGATTGCGCACAAGTACGCATGCGTCGAGTGGAAGCATGCGCGGGGGGGGGGCGTTGAGTTGCTTGGTGCTGTGAGCATGTTTGTGGGGCCTTGCCCACCCCTTGCTCTCTGCATTGTCATGTTTCACTCACCCGCATGGATGTGGTTCATCTGGCGCGGCTTTCGTAGGCACTATGAGCAAACCAAAGAGCTCTTCAAGCGATGCTTGATGAAATGCCCCTTCATCGGCCTGTGGGAGCTGTACATCAAGTTTCTCGAAGACACCAACACCCCGCGCGAGGAAATGGTGTGTGTGTGTGTGTGTCGTGTGTATGATTGTATGTGCATGCGCGTTGATCTCCCGATCATTGCACGCATAACCTTTGTATCCGCTTCTCTGCGATTCACACACGTGCCGCGTCCAGCTGTCTGCGTTGAAGCTGGCCGTGGACACAATGAAGCCTGATATCGACTCCTACAGTCTATGGCGAAAGTACATCAACCTCTTCAAGGTACGTGTGTGTATGTGTATGTGTATGTGTATGTGTATGTGTATGTGTATGTGTATGTGTATGTGTATGTGTATGTGTTGTGTGTGTGTGTGTGTCCACGTGCGCATTTGCGCACCGTTCTTGCGCATGCACCACGTGCTACTGTTGACAGCTGTCACCCACACACTGCAGAATGAGCCGACAGATGGCAAACGGCCCCACGAGGTTTCCCGCCTCACCATGGACACCAGATCACTCTACCAGGTACATGCGTTTGTGAGTGAGTGAGTGCATGTGTGTGTGTGTGTATGCATCCGCGCTCCTCCATGCATTTGTTGTTGATTATGACCACCGGTTTGCACGCACGCTGCGAGCCATCATCATCATCATCATCATCATCATCATCATCATCATCATCATCATCATCATCATCATCATCATCATCATCATCATCATCATCATCATCATCATCATCATCATCATCATCATCATCATCATCATCATCATCATCATCATCATCCTCAACATCATCATCATCATCATCATCATCATCATCATCTCTCTGCGTGTACGTACACACGTGTCCGTGTGGCAGACGAGCATTGCGCTGCCCCATCGCGGTGTCGACAAGATCTGGAAGGAGTACCTTGACTGGGAAACGGTTGGTATCTCCGCACAAGGACACGCACGTGTGCCTCTCTCTCTCTCTCGTGTGTGTTTCTTGTGTGTTCACATGTGTGTGTGTGTATTTGTTCTTGGACTCAACGATGGATATGATGATGCGCCCACACGCTCACACACATGCACACACGCGCACACGAACGCGTTTTTGTGATGTCGTTGGTGGCAGAACATGAACCAAGCCATCGCCTCCAAGTACACCAAAGAAAAGGGACCGCTTCACTCGAACGCACGGTACCCCACTTGCACGTTGAAGTTTACTCGTGTGTGTGTGTGTGTGTGTGTGTGTGTGTGTGTGTGTGTGTGTGTGTGTGTGTGTGTGTGTGTGTGTGTGTGTGTGTGTGTGTGTGTGTGTGTGTGTGTGTGTGTTCGAGATTGCACGAGATGTCATCTACAGACCTTTCAGCACGTCCCACTCATCATACCCACCCATGCATACACACATCCCACGCATCACCCATGCACTCACCCGCGATGCCCCCCTCCCAATTTGCCACTGCTGCCTTTGGTGGTGTACAGGGCGGTGACGGCAAAGATTGAGCAGCTGTGCCGGCGCCTGCGCAAGGACTTCCCGTCGCTGCCACCAGAGATGCGCGATGGTATCCTTGCCGAGCAGCAGCGGCTGTGGGAGCAGCTGGTGGCGTACGAGCGCAGCAACCCGCTCAAGCTGGACCACGACCACCTCGTTGTGGAGCGCGTGTACTTTGTCTACCGCCAGTACCTGCTCTGCTTCAACAGATACCCAACGTACGTCGTGATGATGATGATGATGATGATGATGATGATGATGATGATGATGCTGCTGCTGTTGTTGTTGTTGTTGTTGTTGTTGTTGTTGTTGTTGTTGTTGTTGTTGTTGTTGTTGTTGTTGTTGTTGTTGTTGTTGTTGTTGTTGTTGTTGTTGTTGTTGTTGTTGTGGTGGTGGTGGTGGTGGTGGTGGTGGTGGTGGTGGTGGTGGTGGTGGTGGTGGGAGGGTGCTGATTGGGGCGACGTCAGCTTGGTATTGTGTGACGGAGGTCAATGCTGCTGCTCACTCTCATCTTCATCGCTCCCATCACTCCATCGTCCTCATTGCTCTTATTGCCCCCACTGCTCTCCTCCCAGTGTGTGGTATGAGGCGGCCATGTATCTGCACGACGCTGCACGCGCCGCCCAGACGAAGGTTTGCTGCCAACACATGCGCACATATACACATGGAAACATGCACGTGTCATCGTCTGTGGGCCACACTGCCGATGCACCAGCCACCCGCAGTTGCAACGCCCGCGGTTGCCACGCCCGTACATGCAAACACACACACACACACACATGCAAACACACACACACACACACACATGCAAACACACACACACACATGCAAACACACACACACACACACACTTCCCCGGCTTGTCAGGGGGATACGGAGAGCGCTGAGCGGTGGCAGGGGGCGGCCAATGCGCTGCTGGCGGAGGGGCGGACCGCATGTCCTGCAGACCTCATCCTCCATTTTGCACACGCAGACCTCCTCGAAACACAGGCACGTGGTGGCGGTGTCTCATGGCGCCTTGGGCGGTGGTGGCGGCTTTTTTTTTTTTTTTTTTGGCGTGTTTGGGAGAGAAGTTTGTGCAGACGCAGTTTCACAATTTGGCTGCATCCAATGGTTCGCTCGCTCAAACTCATGCATGTCATGACCACTTACCCCTGCTTGCCTCCTCTGTCTTTGCTTGCAGGCAAACATTCCGGAAGCAAAGAAAATCTACAAATCGCTATTGGTGTGTTTGTGGATGACACACATACTCGCCTGAGGGATAGGGTACACGCACGCATGAACACAAACAAATGCAGCCACTCGCTTACTTGCTTACACACGCACACGCATACACGCCCACACACACGTTGATGTACACGCAACTGCAGGCGCAGCCAGATCTGCCCAACGCGACGCTCGTGTATGTGCAATTCCTCAAACACACGCGCAGAACCGAAGGCGTCAAGGCCGCGCGAGAGGTGCGAACTCCAACAGCACATGAGCCGCATTGATTGCTGGTGTTGAGTTGTGTGCGTGCGTGTGTGTTTGCGGTACGTGATTCTGTCATTGCGCATGTGCAAATACCTCATTTTCACACATGTGCACATGTGCACATATGTGTGTCTATTCCTTCAGGTGTTCAAGGCAGCGCGGTCTGACGATCGCGTCGACCATCACGTGTACACGGCGTCAGCCATGATGGAGCTCGCAAGGTTGAAATGATGACAACGATGGTGGTGGTGGTCGTGGTGGCTGTGCACGCACTGCACCTTTTGCCTGGCACGTGTTCGCATGCGCCCCACACCAGCGCTGTCATTGTCGCTCTTCCTCACAATAATGCACGTTCGTGTGTGTGTGTGTGTGTGTGTGTGTGTGTGTGTGTGTGTGTGTGTGTGTGTGTGTGTGTGTGTGTGTTGTGTGTGAGTATGTATGTGTGCGTGTGTACGTGCGTGGGAGTATAAACACACACACACACACACACACAACACACACACACACACACACACACACACACACACACACACACACACATACATACACACACATACATACATGCACACACACACACACATACATCCACACACACACATACATACACACACACACACGCACGCACGCACACACACACACACGCACACACTCACTTTCATCCTCCCCCGTCTGGTGTCCAGCGTCCCCGAGCTACGCCGATGCATTTCTGTCGTTCATGTCGTACATGGGCGACAGCAACAACACACGCGCCCTCTTTGAACGCTTCCTCGCTAAAGTGCCAAGTGAGTTGTTGTGGATGTGTGTGTCCGTGTCCGTGCACGTTTGTGTGTATGTGTCTGCGCCTGTGTCTGTGTGCGTGTCTGTGTCTGTGTGTGTCTCATGTGTCTCATTACTCCATGCACTCGCCGGACGTCCTGTATCCCACATGTTCTCCCCCTTCGCCCAACTCACCACCACCACCACCACCCTTCACCACCCTTCACCACCCCTTGCCCTCTCTCCAAAGGCGAGGAGGCCGGCAGCATCTGGGAGCGGTACATCAAGTTTGAATCCCTGCACGGCGACTTGTCGTCTGTGCTGCGATTGGAGCAGCGGCAACAGGCGGCGGACGAGGCGCTGCGGGTGCAGGCGGAGGTGGACGCCAACCGCGGGGTCACGCAGCGGCACGACGAACACACCATGGACCACCTCATGGTGCGACGATAACCGGCTGCTTTGACCTCTGTTTGTTTGTTTGTTTATTTGTTTGTTTGTTTGTTTGTTTGTGAGAAGATGTTGCAGTCTTGCTGCCGTTGTTGTGTGATTTTGTATCTTCCTTGGTCATGGTTTTGTCGTGCGTGCTTGCTGCATGTCCACCTCTGTGCATGCACCGCACTCCACCACATTTACACCACACTGTCCGCGCTCATCATCATCATCCCCAACCCGCGATGATCTGTTCCCCACGAAATGGTGACGATGACGACGACAGTCCCGCTACCGCTTCCGTGAGCTGCTGCCCTGCCCGCGCGAGCACATGTACCTCTTCCAGCAGGTCAGTGTGTGTGTGTGTGTGTGTGTGTGTACACGTGTGTGTGTACACGTGTGTGTGTACACGTGTGTGTGTACACGTGTGTGTGTGTGTGTGTGTGTTTGTGTACGCACGCATACGCACGTGCGTATGTGCATCACCGATGAGCCCTTTGCAGAGCAATACATATTGAACGCGTCACGCTCACCAGCACATGCATACGGACCGTTGCTTATTCTCGTGGCGTCAGGACCAGCCTTCCTCTGGCGCAGAGACAGGGAGTGCACCACCAGCCGGCTCTGCCATCGCTGCTGCCACCACCGCAACAGGGCCAGGATCAGCAGCAGCAGCACAGGCTGATGCGGGCGCCAACCTCGACGTCACCTTTGCAGCATATCCGACACCAGACACGTCCCAGGTGCTGTTCACGAAGCGTTATCACATGCGCACACAACTTGTCATACATCAACACACTGTCTACCATCCGTGCCCTTGCGCCCTTCTGACACACACACACACACACACACACACACACACACACACACACAGCGCCTCCCCCCCTTCACACGCTCCACACTCCACACACCCCAATCACACTCTCAAAGTTACTCCCTCTTCCCCCCCCCCCTCTCTCCCTCTCACTCTCTCACCCTCACTCACTCTTGACCACAGCTGATCCCGTTCAAGCCGGTGCTTGACCGTGACCCGGGCATGTTTCTCGTCCGCCCGCTTTCAGCTCCACGCCTGCAGCGAAGCACTAATTGTGTGCGTGTGTGTGTATGAGCGTGTATGAGCGTGTATGAGTGTGTGCCGTGTATGTATGTATGTGTGTATGTGTGTGTGTGCCATCGTGCGCGCTATGTTGGCGGAGTAACGTACCATGTGCACACAGCACACACACACACACACACACACACGCACACACACACACACACACACGCACACACACACACACACACACACACACACACACACACACACACACACACCAGGGTCCGCCGGTGGATACAGATGCGCTTCTTCGTCTGATTCGCGACACGAAAGATGTGAAGTGCACATCATCTGAGATGTCACACGCACAACGATCACACGTCGTCGCAAGCGAGGACATTGTAGTGGGGGCTGGCTGCAACGCTTCTCTCGTTGTTGTTCCCGTATCGATCTCAGTCGCTGGCAGCGACGGGATAAATTGTAGTCCCATATCGACTGCCCGCAAGCAACACCACCGCCGCTGCTGAGAGCAAGAGCAATCCAACACCCCTCGACAACCTCATCCATGGCCAACGAGGAAGAGCAAGCGCTGCTGAGCCGCGCTGCATGGATGTACCCACTGGCATCAAGGCAGGCCGTCTTGGACCTGATCTCAGAGCAGACGGAGGGCGTGTTTGGCGTGAGGTCAAGTGGCACATACCCAGGCTGCTTCGTCCTGTGTCTCAGGTACCGTTCCTGTTGTTGTTGTGGTGGTGGTGATGGAAGCGAGGAAGTTGATGATGGTGTGTGGCTGTGATGTGCGATGGGGGATGGGATGGGAAGACCTGGCTGGAACAAGCATGTGTACGCAGTCTTCATGTCACACGCACATATGTAACAACACACTCTCGCTCACTCACTCTCGCTCACTCACACTCTCGCTCACTCACACTCACACTCACTCACACTTACATACACATACGCACTCACACACACACACATACGCACATACGCGCACACACATAACTGCAGCGAGGCTGGCACACCACGAGAGTATCTGATCAAACGCCGCAGCGACGATGGCGCATACCATGTCGAGTATTCCAGGCATGCGTTCTCCTCTCTGCCCGATCTCATCGCCTATTACAGGTTTGCCGACGACGGTGGAGTGCGCCAAGCAATCGAGAATGCAATGGCTTGTTGTTTCTTTTTGTCTTTTGCGTTGTTTAGTTGTCTTGTGGACTGGGCTGGCAATCGATGTCCCATTGTGGTTTGCATCAATGTTGTTGTGCACTGTGCAGGTGTATCAGCGTGTCAGTGAATGGCGGGTCTTGACGTCTGTTGTCCCGAGCAGGCATGGACAGCATGTTAGCTGAGCTGCTCCACCGCTGTCTTTCCTGCACTCATGCGCTTGTTCACTCTGCTCGGAACTTGTGAACATGCAGCACACCCAAGGGCGCAAGTGACCTCAATGGTGTTGTCTTGCGGCTTGACATCCGACCAGTGGTAAGCCTGCTCCATGCTGCTTGGCCGTGCAGTGCTCGCCAATAGGTCAATGACCTACAGTCACGCATCCTTGTGGCTTACCAACATCCGAACAGCTTTTTTGCAAGTGCACATGTAAAGATGCACGGCTTCTCAACACAAAGTACACATTCACTCTTAACCTCTTAACCTTGCACACCACTCCCATTCATGTTCACGACACTCGCATTCATGTTCACGCTCACACACACATTCTCACACACATCCTCACACACATCCTCACACACACACACATACACATACACCCTCACACACACACACCCTCTCACACACCCTCTCAACCATCCCCCTCTGTTCCACATGCAAACGCGTTGCAGAGCACGCTTGTGCGACAGGTAAACTCGAGTGCTGATACGAGCTGGACCCATTCGTGGGGGTCTCCACAGCCCCAGCCGTCCCCGTCAACGGTGCATGATGTGAGTGGTGTCAGTGGCACAGGGGATAGCCAGCTGCTTTTGCAGCAAGACTACGCACAGCAGCCGCATGCACGGCAGCATTCAAACGCAGCACCGGCGCCACCACACTCACACGAGAGGCTGTCGCCGAGCACCGTGGGGTCCAGCACGCGCCTGGTTGGAACAGAGGTGCTGAGTCCAAGCCGCAGCAGATACGTACCCGATGAGCACGAGTACGAACACCTGCAGACGCAGTTTGTTGCCTCGTCCGATGTGACGAGTAGCGCAATTGCAACGCCCAACACCACAGGCGGCAGCACCGGCAGCCGTATGCACGGAAGCAGGCTGGTGCTGGTGGAAACCGACCCCTCCAGCGCTGCACTCTCGACCAGCCCGGCATCGCTGGTGTCCCCACAGGCCCCCGTCTACCACACCACCACAACCACGCAGTATTACTTTGAGCTGGAGCCCGTCGATGGCGAGTTTGACGATGATTTTGACCCGAGCGAACATCGTGGTGGTGTTGGCCCTGAAGCGCAAGCTCGGGACCCACCCGTTTCACTTTAGCCGCGCACATGTTGTCGTGTTGTTATTGTCGGTGACTTTGCTCGTGCATATGTGAGTGCTTTGGCATGCATGTAACGCGCAATTTGTTGCTTATTTGTTTCACACAAGACCTCATCCGCCTGCCCATCGTACTCGCATGTGTTCGTCTGGACGGCTATTGCATTTGCGTGCTGCACCACCTGTTTCGCCATGCGAAGTATGTTCTTGCTTTTCCTGCTGTCCGTGCTCGCCTGTGATTTTGCAATGCGCGCACGTGCATCGTTGTTCTTTCTTGTTGTTCCCCTGTTTGCTCTGTGTGGCCTTTTCCCTCTGTCCTCCCTGCTGGAGTACAACTGCGTATGCAAGTGGCCCACTCCTCCACTCACTCCAGCACTCATCAAGCATAAACGCTCGTTCGTGACAGAGGCAGGCAGGGGTCGTGCGGCGTCCATAGTTGTGGTGTGTTTGATGTTAACGGGAGAGACAAAAGAAGCACACAACGGGACAACAGACAGCAACAGAGGCTGAGGATGACTCAAAGGTTCAAAGAACTCATGTCATCACCGAACAATCTTGTTCGCATGCATGCAAACTGGGGAAGAGCGAATACATTGTCTGGGTGGAAGCGCAAGTGGACATGCACTGGAAGGAAGTTTGAAAATGTACGAAAGCAGACAAGCCGCAGGTCTTTGGTGTACGCATTTCCATGAATGATGAAACTGATGAAAGGACGCCACACCCACACCCACACCCACACACCCACACACACCCACACCCACACACACACACACACACACACACACACACACACACACGCACACACGCACGCACGCACAGAGTTAGCTGATGTAAGTGGGAATGAGGTCGAGCATCTCTTGCTCGGAGAAGATGTGGCCTTGCGCAAGCTTCTGGCCAATGTAGCCAAGAAGGCCGCCAAAGTCAATCGTCTTGTCGCTGACGTTTGCCTGGACAATGAGGCGGGCGCGCTCCGCCACAAATGGGTGTAGGCCAACAGGGAAGTCACTGCCAGGGGTGGGCACGCTGAAGCGGGCGTCGTCGTTCTGCCAGATTGGGGCGTTCAGCTTGCGCAGGGCCTCCGCGGATGCGAGGAAGGCAAAAGAGGACGCAAACACGTCGTCCACAAACAGCGTGGAGCCGTCGTTGGTGACGGGCGAGTAGAACTCATTGTACGTCGTCTCCGTGATGCTGGTGATGGCGACGGTGTACACAAAGCCGGCGTCGTCGTAGCGCACAAGGCGGTCGCCAACAACAAAGTCCTCTGCAAATATGAAGTCGCCGGCGGGCTTGGTGGTGGATGCGTTGGACACATCCACATCCTCGCCAGCGCGAAAGATGAAGTGGTCGGGGGTCGAGGTGAGCACACTGGCGTTACCGTCCTTGTCCGTGTAGTGCAGCTCCACAAAGGGGCTGGTCTTGTTGTGCTGGACGTTGATGAATGTCTTCATGTCGCAGTAGGCCAGGCTGTTGCCGTTCGAAGCCGACAAGCACAGCACATGGTCGCCAGTCTTGAGGTCGCGCAGCTGCACACGCTCTCCACTCTCCAAGATGACCTCGGCCCAGCCAGGAAAGCAGGGGGCGGTGGAAGGCGGGTCTGTGGCAATGAGTGGGCACAGTTGGGTGCTGTCAGAGGGGCGCGCGCTGCACACGTGAGTGAATGCGCCGTCCAGCTGGCCGGTTGTTACGCTGACGTTAACTCCTGTTTCCGAAGCGGCTTCCAAAGCAGCGTAATCAGCCCCGTACGTGCCATTTGAGAGCGCGATGCTCCAAAAGTCGTTCTCGGACGACGTGAGGTTCTCGTACATTGCAGCAGGGTTGCTCCGCAGCGCAACGCATCGGATGGTGTTGCCAGTGTCGATACCAATCACAGTGAACATGATGTGATCCCCATTCGTCAGCTCTGCCGTGGGAGTTGCCAATGTTGGGCAGGCTTGCGTTGTTGTTGTTGTTGTTGTTGTTGTTGTTGTTGTTGTTGTTGTTGTTGTTGCTGCTGCTGCTGCTGTTGTTGTTGTTGTTGTTGTTGTTGTTGTTGTTGTTGTTGTTGTTGTTGTTGTTGTTGTTGTTGTTGCTGCTGCTGTTGTTGTTGTTGTTGCCGTTGTGGTCGCTGCCGTTGTTGCCGAGGTAGCTGTGGTGGTGGTGGTTGTTTCCGCAAAGTCGCTGGTCATGTATGCGCACCGAGACCTGAGATTATGGTGTACCGCGAGAGAGGCGTACGTGAGTGCACGTGTGTTGGTTGGGGTGGCTGGAAGTGGGGCAAGCGCTGTGGAACAAGGGCTATGCTTCATTTGCCTGCAAGCACGGGCCTGCGAGCAAGCAAGTTTGGTGAGCGAGTCCCTTGCTGTGTGGTGGACTTACAGGCATGTAGCATTGGCCATGGGACAGCCCTGCACGCAGGCGGTGAGATCCGTCGTGCTCATCAGGTTGACATGATGGCCCAGCTGCACGACACACGTGCCGAAAGCCGTCAGGTTGCTGACATACTGAACACCGCAAAGATCGCAACAAACAACAGTTGAGGTGAGTAAGCACTGGAGGAACAGGATGACAGCAAGGTCAAAGCATCATGAGCTCATCAGCTATCAAGGGAATGGGGGCGCTGGAGTGCGCGCACGTAGATACGCACACACACACACACACCTGAGTTGCGCATTGCGAGGCGGAGGCTTGAAAGGCCTTGGCGGCAGCTGTGCCATTGTCATCCTCACTGCCATAAACGACGGCAAGGGGTACGGCAACGGCAGCACTCACCACCAGCATGACAGCGATGGCTGCAATCACAGGATGCGCCGCCAAGCAGCCGCTGGAGGAGGACTGAGACGCACTGCCCGCATTGCCGCTTTGTTGTTTGCCAACTTCGGGCATCTCAATCGAAACGGCTTGCTCCTGATCCTTGCCTCCCATTGTGGCTGTTACCCTGATTCCTTTGTCCTTGGTAGCTGCTTGGAGAAGGCTCGTTGGCTTGCTTTGGAGTGGGAGAAATAGGAAGGATTTGTTGAAGGAAAGACGTTCAACGGTGTTGTCAAAGTGGATGTGAGATTGATCACAGATGGAAGAAAGCCAGCACAAAGGGCAATGAAGAGGACAAACCGACTGGAGCAGTAAGTGTGGTCATGTAACACGTATCCGCCGTGGATTCCAACACTCACACGGCGACGCACCTGCTTTGCTGCTTTGCTGCTTTGCTGCTTTGCTTGCTTTGCTGCTTTGCTGCTTGCAGTGTTTGTGGCGTCGCAACTTGTATTGGAGGACAACAAAACTGCTGGTGATCGCAGCCGTTGTTGTTTTTCTCTCTCTGACGAGCGCTGATGTAACCGGCATGACGACGACGTGTTGCTGTGCTGCTGTGCTGAGCACTCCTCTTTCGTGGCGCGCAAACAGAAGGGACACAGCGTTCGTCACAGGTCCAGGCGGCCTTGAAGCGCGTTGAAGTGCGTTGAAGCGCGTGTGACGAGTCGGTAGGATTTGGAGTAAGAGCTTCAAGAACATACATTCACCGACAGCATAAACTATCCGGATTTGCGAAAACACGCTGCTTCTTGCCTGCAAACCACAAGCCAAAAAAACGACCGCGCTGCCTTGGTTTGTGGTTTGTCCGCGCACGCAACCCACCCACCCGCCTGAGGCGACCGACCAAGCAAGCAAGCAAGCAAGCAAGCAAGCAAGCGATCATCGTCCAACGAACCAAAAGAACACACACACACGTCCGTCCGTCCGTCCAGCACTCTCAGACAGACAGCCGGCTGGCATCATGAGCAAACGAGCGGTGAGATATGCTGATGTTGTGAATGACGTTCTGCATCTGACCTTCTTGCTTGCTGGCTCGTGTTGCCTGGTTGGTGTCTTCGACAACAACTACAACTCACCATCATCACACACACACACACATCACGCAACGCACCGCACAACAACGCACACAGGGAGATGACAGCATTCACGTGTTCAGGCCCAAGGGTGTGGAGATGCCCCTGTGCCTGCCTGACAACGACGACGACGACAATGCCGCCTGCTCAAGCAGCAGCAGCAGCAAGATGCACACGAAGGTGCGCACGTTGATGATGTGCGTGGCACATGTTCTGTGTTGCTGAACATGATGGCTAGATGACTGCATGGAGCGACAGCCGTGCGTTGCTCTCATCTCATGACACGTGTGCCTGTGCAAGTGTTCTCTAACGTTTGGCGCGCTTGCCTGTTGGAACGCAGGGTCCCGTATGTGTGTCGTGTGAACGAACGTTCCCGTCGTTGCTGTCGACGCGAACGTGTGAGGCCTGTGGCGCGCGCTTCTGTACCGTGTGCCTGAGCGTGATCAGCAGCAAGCTCGGAGACAGGTGGGAGTGTGTTGCCTGCCAACCACGTGCCCTCACCATTCCCGAGCCCCGCCGCTCCCCACGACGCGCAGCCCTGGTACGCGCACGTGAATGTATGTATGTATGTATGTATGTATGTATGTATGTATGTATGTATGTATGTATGTATGTATGTATGTATGTATGTATGTATGTATGTATGTATGCATGTATGTATGTATGTATGTTTGTATGTTTGTATGTGTGTGTGTGCCTGTGCGTGCGGGTGTGCTTGCGTGTTTGTTTGATATCTGTAAGCCTGTCCTCACGCTCCAGTCCTCCAACTTGTTGGTTCAACCCATCACCGCTTGAGCAGGCACGGCGCAAGGACGGCAGCCAGCAAGCCTCGTCGCCTGCAAAGCAACGCGCCAACACAAAGCGCATCCTGCACGACCTCAAGCAGTGCCATAGTTTAGAGCACCTTGGCATCCGTGTTGAAGTCACAAATGACATTAGCACATGGAACATCTCTCTCCTGCTCGATGTAGGGGTTTTGCTCAAGTCGCCTTTGCTTCTGTATCATGCTCCCCTTTCTCCCCGCGAAACACACACACGCACGCACGCACACATGAACACACACACGCACACACACATATACATGCACGGACACATCAGCTCACATCTCACGTTGTTGCTCGCTGCCCCCTGCACCTCAACGGTTGCCGTCTTCTTCGCCACTGCCAGGATGGAAGCATGTGCTCGTGTCTGCTTGTGTTTCGGGAGGATTATCCGGCCACAGCACCACTCGTGCGTGTGCTCTCGCCGCACCACGCCACCGCACTCAAGATGCGCACCGAGATGGTCAGCCCGGACGGATGGAGCTGGTGAGTTTCCGCCGCGCATGTGTTCTTTGGCTTGGCTTGATTTCATTTGGGCGTTGTGTTGGTTGGGCGTTGTGTTGGTTGTCTGTTACTGCATGTCCGCTCTTTTAAAACAATCTTACCTGTGTCTCACCATCCCCTTCTTCCCCAAAACACACACACACACACACACACACACACACACACACACGTACACACACACACACACACACACACACACACACACACACACACACACACACACACACACACAGCCTGAGCTTCCTGCTTGAAGGGACGCGGCGATGGTCTTCTGGAATTGATGTTCCCGCTGTGCTCGTCTGTTTGCGTGCACAGCTCTCAGCAGCCCTGGCCCAGCGCTGACACGCGTGCGTGTGTGCACGCGTATGCCTAAAGTCCATTGTAGATGCATGTACTTCTCCCAGTTTCCCTTGTGTCTGTGTTTCCGTGCTGTCATATCCTTCTTCCTTTCCTTGATACCACACACACACACACACACACACACTAGCTAGCATTGCTGTTGATATTACGCCCACATCCTCCCCCCTTTATGATTGCTGCTGCTTGTATTGTGATGATGAATGATGTAAACGATGCTATTGACACCAAGTGGACGGGACACATGGTTTATGATCACTGCTGGAACCGAACCGAAACGAATGGAGTTAAGGGTCTAAGCTGGGTATGCACATGACACACACACACACACATACACACACACACACACACACACTCACCTCCATATTTTCATGTGTTTCGAAGTTTGGCGTCTTGTTTGGTAGCTGTTACCAAGGCTAGTGTGGACACACGCATGTGAGGTGGCAATAGGACAGACCCCAATAGGACCAAAAGGCGTATCTTGTCGAGAGTACTGTTTCTTCTCTAAGCTAAGGTACTGCCCCTATGTGTTGAGTATTGAGGACCTCGGTTACATCTCCCCATCGTCCGACCGCGTATCTGATTAGGACACACACACACACACTACACACACACACACACACACACACACACACATATTGTCATGTGTTGCGAAGGTTGCCGTCTTGTTTGGTAGCTGTCACGATAGGCAAGTGTGAACACACGCATGTGAGTTTGAAAGGGCCACGAATGCATACACAGACACAAACAGACACAGACACACACACAGACACAAACAGACACAGGCACAGACAGGCAGACACACACACACACACACACACGCATGCGTACGTACCGAGGCGCCTGCTTGTGCGGCGGTCAATGAAGCGGAAGAGCTCTTCTCGCGTCATCTCGCGAACAGTCGACGAGGTCGACAACACCGACGATGACGATGCTGACGATGGCAACGGTGGCGGCGATGATGACGATGATGCCATGGAGATGGATGATCGTGAGTTGGCGCGAGTGGTGGTTGCGGTGGTCAATGCGGTGCTGGGCGCGGAAACAGCGGTACCTGGCGATGAGCTGCGGTCGCCCTCACCGCAACCACTCCTGTTGTCTACATTGACCTGCGTCCCTGTGCGAGCCGCCCTGTCTTCGGACGGAGACGCCACACCACTGCTCATGCCACTCTCGCGTCCGCCACTGCTGCGCTGTTCTCTCAGCGGCGGTGGGGACGACGGTGCTGGCGAGCTCCTGTTTCCCACCAAATTCTCCCCTGTTGAGGCAGTCGGCACCTGAGATGGTGCTGTGCGTCCGTGTGCCGTTGTGTGCGCAGCACGCGAGCGAGCGCGGTCCTGCCGCTCCATCGTGGCCATGATCGTGGCCATCTTCATCATGGACGCCGCTGTTGGTGCACGTTCCCGCAGCGCCTTTGCGTGCGCATCCCTCAGCTTGGCCAGTTTTGCGGCATCAAAGAAGTCTGCACCACCAACCAAGGGGCCCTTGCGCATGCGTGCGCTTCTTCCTCTACCATCATCGCCATCGCCACCGCTGTCACTGTCATCACCCGCCCAATGTCGTTGTCGTCGTTTGTGCTGCTGTTGTTGCAGCTGCAAGAGGCGCCTGCTTCTCCGTCGTGGAAGCTGTCGCTGCAGTCGCTGTTGCTGCTGCTGTTTCAGGTTTTGCTCGCCCACCACTGCTGCTCTTTTTGCGAGTGCCACTAGCATCACCATCATTCTCATCACCACCATCGCCACCACCACCACTGTCATCACCGCGTCGTCCGTCTTCGTCACTGTCAGCTTCGTCATCGCCATCGTCACCACCACCGCCACCAACAGCCATGCTGGCGTGATCACTAGTGGTGCCGGTGCTGCTGGTGCTGCTGCTGGCGGTGGTCTGGTGAGCGGTCGAAGCGCGTCTCCGTGCGACCGATTGCACACGCAACTGCTCGGCCTGCAGGAACACCTTCAGCTTGTCAAAGTCTCTGTTGAGGATGGAATCGTCCAACACGCGCCCAAAACGGTGGAGCAAATCACGGTGATCCTGTCAGCACACGCACGAGTGAGTGTATGCATCAGTGTGCATGTGTGTATGCATTTGTGTGCGCGAATCAGTGTGTGTGTGTTTGTCCACGTGTATGTGTGGGTGTGTGTGTGTGTGTGTCCGAGGGTGTACAAAGGCAAGCATGTTTGACGATGCGAGGGTACATGTACACACGTGTATGCATTGTGATGTGGCAGCAGTACAATGGGGGAGGGATGGTTGTGGAAAACTGAGCAATCAAAACTACAGCTCGCGACCTTATTCCCCTCCCCCCAGTCGACACGCACAAGCGCATGCCTTAGCTCATGCAGCCGTCAACGCCTCAACACCTACTGCCTCACACTCACGTGCACGCCATGGCTCCCATACCTGCGACAGGGTTGTGAAGCGATGGGTGGTTGCGAGGATGCGTCGGACATCGGCGATTGCCGTGAGCGCGTTTGGATACGCACGCGAGCGCAGCCGGTCTTCAAACGTCTTCACTGTGCACGCGCTCAGAGCGAACGACACCTTGCCCTGTTGAACACACGCGCCACAAACAAACATGAATGAAAACAGTCACATCAATACACGCTATCACAGAACCGCACGTCACAAGCGAACATGGCCAACCCAGCGGACAAGACCAACCCAGCAGACACGGCAGCCTCGACACGCACGCACACACATACATATATAAATACAAACACAGTCAAACTACTCAACACAGTCAAACACACACGCACAAACACACACACACAGACAAACTACTCAACACAGTCAAACACACACACACACACGCACACACACACACGCACGCACGCACACACGCACGCACACAGACACAATACCGCAGCCTTGCTCACCTGAAGGTCGAGGTTGGTGCGGGTCCGCGGATCGAGGAGTGCACCCTGCTGTTGAAGAAGTTGCAATGATGGCAACAAGTAGGACAACAGATTGTCATATTCATCAAACGTCCATTGTGGCATCTCCCCCACTTTTGCCTTCTTCGTCACACCGTCCGCACGAGTTGGCTTCTGTTCCTTCTGGGTTTCTTCGCGCGCTTTTGCCACCGCAATCTCATCGCCCGTCTCATTTCCACTGGAGCTGGCGTCGCTCATGAGAGCTGCATTCCGGCTTGCCGCTGCCGCTGTGGCTGCCGTTGTGGATGACAGCGCGTGCCGCATGAGTGCAAATGACCACGGCCCTTTCGCGCCCATCGCAGCTCCCACACGCATTGGCGGTGCACGTCCATCCACGCCGCCCTCTCGGACGCCTTGGGGCTGCATATCTCTCTCCGAAGTTGTTGTGACGGTCGAACCGGCCCTGCTGGTGGTTCCGTCTGTACAATTTACGCTGCTGCTGCTTCGGCGGCGGCGTTGGCGGCTGCTTCTTCTCCGCTTCTTGCCCTCGTGCACGCGCTCGGCAGCGCGCTGATCATCGCTCGTGTCCATTGCAGTTGTCACTCCTGTGCTGTGCGGAGGCGTTGTGGGCGGCAGCTGTCTCCCTTCTAGCAGCATCACACTGCGAACGGCACTGGTAGTGGTGTTGGTGCCACCGACGCTGGTGTTGTTGTCTGCAGCATCCCTGCCATCATCATGAGGGCCATGGTCGTTGCTGTTGCCGCTACGGTTCGAGTCTGTTGAGTGAGGTTCCACTTTCACCTTCATTGTTGGTTTCTGATGCTGCTGTTCCCACTTGGCGCCCCTGATCCATTGTGACCACTGACGTCGTTGCTGCTCCACCATCTGCAGATACACTGCCTCCATCCCCACGCATTGTTGTTGTTGTTGTTGTTGTTGTTGTTGTTGTTGTTGTTGTTGTTGTTGTTGTTGTTGTTGTTGTTGTTGTTGCTGTTGTTGTTGTTGTTGTTGGTCTGCTGTGTCAGCACCACTCTCTTGTCCGCCGTCAAGCACCTGCCTCATGCCTGCCCACGCTTCAGCTGACACAGGTGCGCAGGCGTGGAACATACGTCGCCAGTACACTTCCTGGTGCCACTGCTGCAAAAGGCTGTGCGGAGGAGGTGGGGCTGTCGGGGGCACATAGAGCACGCACGACTCGTCTCGCCTCGCATCACAATCATCAAGCAGATCACTGCGCAACCCTGCAGTCGTTGCCGTAGCTGCTGTAGCTGCTGTCGTTGTCGCTGAGGTTTTGCTTGCGTTGTTTGCGCCCATCTCCTCGTCCTTTTGAAGGTGCTTTGACGGACCTTGCTGTTGATCGTCACGTTCATCTCCACGTCTACCCGCAGCCCTGGATGCCGCATCACCAACCTTATCGCCAGCACCGTCGCCACCGCCACCACCATTGTCATCGTCATCGTCATCATCGTCGCTGCTGTCACCGTCACCACCACCACCACCATCACGAACCAGATCAAGCACCAGCCGTTGCATGCCAAACACGTCCAGCTGCACCTGGTGCATATCATCGTCATCCTCTGCTTGCGCACTCCCTGCACTTGTGCCCTGCGTGGTCGCAGTGTTTGTTGCCTGTGCTTGCTCCTGCCCTGTCTGCCCTTGCTCGTCCACCATGTCTCCATCAGCCGTTTGGTTGTGTGCGACATTGCTGCCATCCTCCTCCCCCATTTCCAATCGCTGCATCACCTCTGTAGCAATTCGTAGCGAGCGAAGCGCAAACTCATCTTTGATGCCTTGGCTCCCCTCTTTGCCCTTACTGCCGCCGTAACTGGAAGCACGACAATTGCGCTTCTTGCTGCTGCTGCTGCTGCTGCTGCTTCCGCGACCGCCCGTTTTGGCAGCGGTGGCTTTGACAGTGGTTGCGCCGCTACTCTTCATGCCACTGCTGCTAGGATTGCTCTTGCCACTCTTGCTGCTGCTCTTGCTGCTGCTACTGCTGCTCCTCTTCTTGCTGGTGGAATTGCTGGCGGCGCTGTTCGCTGAAGCCTTTGATGCCTGTCGGGGTAGCCTGGGAACGATGGGCCTTGGCGTGAGGTACCGCGTGCTGCTGCGGCGAGTGGCAGACGATGAGGAAGAGGAAGAAGAGGACGAGGAGGAAGAGGAAGAGGAAGAAGAGGAAGCGACGGAGGAAGAGGACCGTGTTGATGCTGCCGATGATGACGACAAAGACGATGCAACGGAGGACGTTGAGGAGCGAAGAGCGCGGGCACCGGCAATTCGTTGTGAGCTGCGACGTTGACGTGCCGTCTCGCCACCACTGCTAGGAGCCCTGTTGCTGGCACTCCCCGACTGCCGCGTCGGCACCTCTGGCTGTTGTCTCTTCTTTTTCTTCTTCATCTTTGTGTTTGCCAGGACGCAGCTCGCAGTTGTCTCCGTGGGCGTGACCTCAGCACTGCTGCCACCGCTGCTGCTTCGAGTGGCAGGCACTGTGTTTGTGGTGATGCGCTTGTTGTCGTTTGCTGCTGACTGTCTGATCTGCTTCTTAGCTGTTGCCGCTGCACCCGCCAGCGTTTTGGCCTGCTTCGTTTGCTTCCCATCGTCGCCACCGTCATCCACACGGCGCAAGCTCGCTTGGCTCAACCTTCGCTTGTACGGCTGCTTGGGTGGTGGCCCTTGGACTCGCTTGTCCCACTCCTGCTGCTGCGGCTCTTGTCGCTGTTGACCCTTACTGTGCTTCTGCTTCTTCTTGTTCTTCTGCTGTTGCTGGCGCTGTTTCTCCTTCGTTTTCGTGTTCGGTTGTTGCTGGTGCGGACGCTCTTCCTGTGCCTGCTCTTGCTGTCGTAGGGCGGTCGCCAGCCTTCGCGAGCTTCTTCGTCTTGACAAGGCGCTTCCACCACCACCACCACCACCACCACCACCACCACCACCACCACCACCACCACCACCACCATCATCATCATCATCATCATCATCATCATCATCATCATTGCCACCACCAGTGGCATCACCTCCATCATCCACAATGGCAGCATTCTCGTCACCATCGTCATCAGCGTCGTCGTCATCATAAGCACCCTCGGTGCCGTCACGGCCGCTCCTGCGGTTGCGCTGGTTTGTCGACCGCCTGCCTCTGCTGCTACTGCTGTGACGTTGCTGGGTATCTGTTGAAGTGTTCTTTGGCCGGCGACTGCGAAGGCGACGAGCCAAACTTTCGCGCGGTGATGAAATCGGAGACAGGACAAGCGGGGGCCTGCTGGTATCAGACATATTCAAGATGCTCACCTGAACATCCACCAAATCCTCCTCCTCCTCCTCATCATCATCATCACCACCATCGCCATCAGCAACACCACCGGCAACACTCTCACCACGTGCATCAACATGTTGTTGCCCGCTGCTGCCAACTTTGCCGTGGTCACGCCTGCTTCGATTGGCGCTGCTTGATGCTGCTGCGGTGGAAGCTGCGTCTGACTCTTGGTTGCGGCCCTTCGACAGCGGGCTGAAGAGGCGGCGCAAGCCCTCATACCCCGACGGCACAGACATATCCGGTGCATCAGGAAAGGACAGGGGCAGGCGGTGGTCTTGCGGTGACACGTGTGGGCGCAGTGGCGACAGCTCCCTGTGTCCGTTCAGCCACCCCAAGCCAGGCAGGTCTGCGACACTGTCGTAGTTGTTGTCTTCATCGCCAACAAGGGCACCACCGTCAGCGATGGGTGCTGCCGCGCCCAGGTGAGTGTCAACAAACAAGGCACTCATGTCCTCCACGGTGGCCTCTTCTTCCAGCAGCCGTTGTTGTTGTTGTTGTTGTTGTTGTTGTTGTTGTTGTTGTTGTTGTTGTTGTTGTTGTTGTTGTTGTTGTTGTTGTTGTTGTTGCTGCTGCTGCTGCTGCTGCTGCTGCTGCTGCTGCTGCTGCTGGTGGTGCGAATCATCCTGTGTAGGGCGACCGCTGGCATGACTGTTGCCCGTCATCATCTCCTCGCCATCCTCGTCTTCGCCAGCGGTGACCATCAACGCCACTGCGTCCGACGTTGTGGCTGTCGTCTGCCGGCGGCGTGGGTGTGCTTGCGACGCCGTCATCGTGGCAGACGAAGATGATGCCGTTGTGCTTGTCTCCGCCAGCGAGCGACCTGCAAACACGCTAGTGTATCCGCCGCCAGCGTTGTTGAGGTCTGGGTCTGTGCTTGGCGTTGCGTACTTGCTGGCGTTCACAACTTCCAGAAACGCCTCCGCAGCAACGTGGTTGCCATCAGCACGCAGCAGCTCCGTCAAGCACGCGACAACGGCATCCGCATGAGCGTGCGAGCCATGCCGTGGCCCGTCAGCACCATGAACACGGTCAACACCAACGTCATCATCGTTGCCGTCGCCGTCGCCAGCTTGCGTGCGGTCTTGCACCCGGCCGCGTCCTCTCTCTAGCGATTGAGTCACCTGCGGGGGAATAGCAGACCTGCTGGTGTTGCCGGCACCATCAACAGTTTCAACGGCATCAGCGCCAGCGTCAGCATCATCGTCGCCGTCATCGTCATCATCGTTGTAATCGCCAGAGTTGTCGCCGCTGCTGCCATGCTGGTTCATGTAAGTGGCGCTTCTCTGCAGTGCTGCGCGCATTGCTGCTGCAATTTTAAATGAAGGGGACAACGCAGGCGCCACATGTTGTTGTTGTTGTTGTTGTTGTTGTTGTTGTTGTTGTTGTTGTTGTTGTTGTTGTTGTTGTTGTTGTTGTTGTTGTTGTTGTTGTTGCGTGGGCGGTCCGGCGGTGTTGGCTGCTTGCGAACTGCTGGCACCGCTGCTGTTGTCATTGTTGTTGATGCAGTCAGCGCCATGTGATTGAGAGGTGTGCCGAACGGCAAGGGCCGAGCTATCTACCAAACCGCTCCCACCCCCACTTCCGCTGCTGCTGCTGCTGCTGCTGCTGCTGCTGCTGCTGGTAGTGGTGGTGGTGGTGCGCAGAACACGAACGGTGCCGGGAGGGGCGTGGCGGTGGTCTGGTTGTTTTTGCGGAGTGTTGAATTTGGGCGCGTGACCCTGCAACACATCTGGGGGCGACAGCAATGCCCAAGATCGCACACTGCTCCCGTCTCCCTCATCCCCGTTTGCAGTGAGTTGCGCCGGCTGCGTGTCAGCGGCTGATGACGCCACGCTGCTGCTCGCTGCATACACGCTACCAAGCAGAGACAGCGATTGGGCTTGCGATAGCGGCGGTGGTGGCGGAAGACGCGGTGGTGGTGGAGGAAAGGGTGCTGTGGTCGCTGGTGCAGCAACGATCGTGGCGCTCGTGCAGGTGGCATGAGCTCCGCTGCGTGCAGATGCGTGTAGTTGTGGCCGAGACAAGACAGTAGGTGTCTGTGGTTGATTCATGTGCGGAGGCTGGGAGGCTGCCTCAGAAAGAGTCTGTGGCTGTGGCTGTGGCTGTGGCTGTGGCTGTGGCTGTGGCTGTGGCTGTGGCTGTTGCTGAAGGGGTGCCGGTGAGGGGTAAGGTGTCGCCGTATACGTGGCAGCAGTGGTCCATCCTGGCGCGGACTTGACAGCACCCACACGAAGTTGCTGTTGCTGGCGACATGCATCACACGCACACACGGCAAGCTGCTGCTGCTGCTGCTGCTGCTGCTGCTGCTGCTGCTGCTGCTGTTGTTGTTGTTGTTGTTGTTGTTGTTGTTGTTGTTGTTGTTGTTGTTGTTGTTGTTGTTGTTGTTGTTGTTGTTGTTGCAGGTATCGGTGGTACTGTTGCTGCTCGGAGTACGTGTGCTGTTGATAGTACTGACGGTACACCTGCTGGTGCTTTTGTTGTTTCATCGCTTGCTGCAGCAACTGCTGCTGCGTGCCGATGTGGGTTTGTCGCTGTCTGCCAACAGGTCCTGATTTGGCACGTGCAAACGAAGAGGACGTGCTTTGCTGTGCAAGGGGCGTCGATGTTGGCACTCGCGCGAGCGCTTGAGCTGAGGGCTGGTTCATCCATGTTGGCGTCATGGACGGGGCGACCGGCAGAGGCGGTTGTTGGGGCTGTGGCTGAGGTGGCGCTGGCGTTGGCCCTTGCGCTCCTGCCTCCCATCGCCGCCGATCCTCCGGATACAGCGGAAAGTGTGTCTGCTGCTGCTGCTGCTGATGATGATGATGACCTTGTTGTTGTTGTTGTTGTTGTTGTTGTTGTTGTTGTTGTTGTTGTTGTTGTTGTTGTTGTTGTTGTGTTTGTGTGGGTGGCACGGCGGAGGGAGCACTCACGGTGTGGCGGGCAAGCGCACCAACCGCGCTTGGGACGGCGGTTTCATGCTTGTTTTCACTCGATTGCCTCCTCCAAGGTGCAGCAGAGGACGATGACAACGATGCTGCTGTTGCTGTTGCTGCTGTAGTTGGTGGTGGTGGTGGTGTTGTTGTATTTGTTGTTGTTGGTGTTGCTGTTGGTGTTGTAGTAGTTGTTGTGGTTGTTGTTGGTGGCTTGTTCATGGTTCAGGATGAACCGTCTACCCGTTTCAACACGCAGGGCGTGGCGGAGACAGCGCTTGTGCGTGCTGCTTCAAGTCATGTGCAGGTGTCAACGGCAAATACAGGGAATTGCCTTTCCCTGTGCCTCGACCCAGTTTGCAGCTGCAGGCGTGCTGCTCGGCGACCTAGGGCGTTGATAGATTAGTCGGGAGGAGGATGAAGCGAGCTGCAGCGCCGACGCTTGGCTGGTGGGTGGGCTTGTCCTCGAGCGGAGTGGATGGGTGGTTGGATGGTGGTTATCAGCTACGCACGGGAACGAAGGGGAGCTGCGGAGCGGCGAAGAATGAACCTTGGCGTTGATGTGCATTGCTGTTGTTGCTGTTCGATCAGCGGACGATCTGACGATGGCTGGTTTGGTGGTTGGAGTACAGGTCTACAGGTGGAAGGGCTCCACTTGCCCGCACAAACTGCCATCCGCTCTATTCCGCGCCCCGTCCCGTCTTGTAGATGAACAAGGGTGGTCTGTGCATGCTGGGTCAGATGCGTTGTCATAGCCGGATCAGCAGCGAAGGTGGGGAAGAGCCACGGGCGGTCGAGGGTGG